CGTGTCGCCGACTGACCAGTAATTTCGCCTGACGTGATCTACACTATCCTGATCCACACCACCCTCATCCACACCACCCTGATCTACACTACCCTGATCTACACCACCCTGATCTACACTACCCTGATCCACACTACCCTGATCCACACTACCCTGATCCACACTAGTCTGAACCACACTATCCTGACCCACACCACCCTGATCAACACTACCATGATCTACACTACCCTGATCAACACTACCCTGATCTACACTACCCTGATCCACACTACTCTGACCCACACCAGCCTGATCCACACTACCCTGATCAACACTACCCTGATCCACACTACCCTGATCCACACCACCCTGATCCACACTACCCTGATCCACACTACCCTCATCCACAACACCCTCATCCACACTACCCTGATCAGCCCTACCCTAATCCACACCACCCTGATCCACACTACCCTGATCCTCACTACCCTGATCCACACTACCCTGACGCACACTACCCTGATCCACACTACCCTGATCCACACCACCCTGATCCACACCACCCTGATCCACACTACCCTGATCCACACTACCCTCATCCACACCACCCTCATCCACACTACCCAGATCCACACTACTCTTATCCACACAACCCTGATCCACACTACCCTGATCCACTCCACCCTGATCCACACAATCCTGATCCACACTACCCTGATCCACACTACCCTCATCCACACCACCCTCATCCACACTACCCAGATCCACACTACTCTTATCCACACAACCCTGATCCACACTACCCTGATCCACTCCACCCTGATCCACACAATCCTGATCCACACCACCCTGATCTACACTACCCTGATCTACACCACCCTGATCTACACTACCCTGATCCACACTACCCTGATCCACACTACCCTGATCCACACTAGTCTGAACCACACTATCCTGACCCACACCACCCTGATCAACACTACCCTGATCTACACTACCCTGATCCACACTACTCTGACCCACACCAGCCTGATCCACACTACCCTGATCAACACTACCCTGATCCACACTACCCTGATCCACACCACCCTGATCCACACTACCCTGATCCACACTACCCTCATCCACAACACCCTCATCCACACTACCCTGATCAGCCCTACCCTAATCCACACCACCCTGATCCACACTACCCTGATCCTCACTACCCTGATCCACACTACCCTGACGCACACTACCCTGATCCACACTACCCTGATCCACACCACCCTGATCCACACCACCCTGATCCACACTACCCTGATCCACACTACCCTCATCCACACCACCCTCTTCCACACTACCCAGATCCACACTACTCTTATCCACACAACCCTGATCCACACTACCCTGATCCACTCCACCCTGATCCACACAATCCTGATCCACACTACCCTGATCCACACTACCCTCATCCACACCACCCTCATCCACACTACCCAGATCCACACTACTCTTATCCACACAACCCTGATCCACACTACCCTGATCCACTCCACCCTGATCCACACAATCCTGATCCACACCACCCTGATCTACACTACCCTGATCTACACCACCCTGATCTACACTACCCTGATCCACACTACCCTGATCCACACTACCCTGATCCACACTAGTCTGAACCACACTATCCTGACCCACACCACCCTGATCAACACTACCATGATCTACACTACCCTGATCAACACTACCCTGATCTACACTACCCTGATCCACACTACTCTGACCCACACCAGCCTGATCCACACTACCCTGATCAACACTACCCTGATCCACACTACCCTGATCCACACCACCCTGATCCACACTACCCTGATCCACACTACCCTCATCCACACCACCCTCATCCACACTACCCTGATCAGCCCTACCCTAATCCACACCACCCTGATCCACACTACCCTGATCCTCACTACCCTGATCCACACTACCCTGACGCACACTACCCTGATCCACACTACCCTGATCCACACCACCCTGATCCACACCACCCTGATCCACACTACCCTGATCCACACTACCCTCATCCACACCACCCTCATCCACACTACCCAGATCCACACTACTCTTATCCACACAACCCTGATCCACACTACCCTGATCCACTCCACCCTGATCCACACAATCCTGATCCACACTACCCTGATCCACACTACCCTCATCCACACCACCCTGATCCACACTGCCCTGATCCACACTACCCTGATCCACATTACCAGAGGGCCTGATCCACACTACCCTGATCTGCACTACCCTGGTCCACACTACCCTGATCAACACTGCCCTGATCCACACCACCCTGATCCACGCTACCCTCATCCACACCACCCTGATCCACACTACCCTGATCCACACTACCCTGATCCACACCACCCTGATCCACACCACCCTGATCCACACTACCCTGGTCCACACTACCCTGATCCACACCACCCTGACCCACACTACCCTGATCCACACCACCCTCATCCACACTACCCTGATCCACACAACCCTGACCAGCACTACCCTGATCCACACAACCCTGACCAGCACTACCCTGATCCACACTACCCTGGTCCACACTACCCTGATCCACACTACCCTGGTCCACACTACCCTGATCCACACCACCCTGACCCACACTACCCTGATCCACACCACCCTGATCCACACTACCCTGACCAGCACTACCCTGATCCACACTACCCTGATCCACACCACCCTGATCCACACCACCCTGATCCACACCACCCTGATCCACACTGCCCTGATTCACACTACCCTGATCCACATTACCAGAGGGCCTGATCCACACTACCCTGATCTGCACTACCCTGGTCCACACTACCCTGATCAACACTGCCCTGATCCACACCACCCTGATCCACGCTACCCTCATCCACACCACCCTGATCCACACTACCCTGATCCACACTACCCTGATCCACACCACCCTGATCCACACCACCCTGATCCACACTACCCTGGTCCACACTACCCTGATCCACACCACCCTGACCCACACTACCCTGATCCACACCACCCTGATCCACACTACCCTGATCTACACTACCCTGATCCACACTACCCTGACCAGCACTACCCTGATCCACACTACCCTGATCCACACCACCCTGATCCACACCACCCTGATCCACACTACCCTGATCCACACTACCCTGATCCACACTACCCTGATCCACACAACCCTGACCAGCACTACCCTGATCCACACTACCCTGATCCACGCTACCCTCATCCACACCACCCTGATCGACACTACCCTGATCCACACTACCCTGATCCACACCACCCTGATCCACACCACTCTGATCCACACTGCCCTGTTCCACACCACCCCGATCCACACTACCCTGATCTACACTACCCTGATTCACACCACCCTGGTCCACATTGCCCTGATCAACACTACCCTGATCCACACCACCCTGATCCACACCACCCTGATCCACATTACGCTGATCCACACTACCCTGATCCACACCACCGTGATCCACACTACCCTGATCCACACTACCCTGATCCACATTACCCTGATCCACACTACCCTGATCCACACTACCCTGACCCACACTACCCTCATCCACACTACCCTGATCCACACTACCCTGATCCACACTACCCTGATCCACACTACCCTCATCCACTCCACCCTGATCCACACAATCCTGATCCACACTACCCTGATGCACACTACCTTGATCCACACCACCCTGATCCACACTACCCTGATCCACACTACCCTGATCCACACTACCCTGATCCACACCACCCTCAACCACACCACCCTGATCTACACTACCCTGATCCACACTACCCTGATCCACACTATCCTGACCCACACCACCCCGATCAACACTGCCATAATCTACACCACCCTGATTCACACTACCCTGATCCACACTACAATGAACCACCCTACCCTGACCCACACCAGCCTGATCAACACTACCATGATCCACACAACCCTGACCAGCACTACCCTGATCCACACTACCCTGATCCACACTACCCTGATCCACACCACCCTGATCCACACTACCCTGATCCACACCACCCTGATCCACACTACCCTGATCAACACTACCCTGACCCACACTACCCTGATCCACACTACCCTGACCCACACTACCCTGATCCACTCCACCCGTATCCACACAATCCTGATCCACACTGCCCAGATCCACATCACCCTGATCCACACTACCCTGATCCACATTACCCTGATCCACATTACCCTGATCCACACCACCCTGATCCACATTACCCTGATCCACACTACCCTGATCCACACTACCCTAATCAATACTACCCTGATCCACACCACCCTGATCCACACCACCCTGATCCACACTACCCTGACCCACACTACCCTGACCCCCACTACCCTCATCCACACTACCCTCATCCACACCACTCTGATCAACACTACCCTCATCCACACTACCCTGATCCACACCACCTCGATCCACACTACCCTTATCCACACCACCCTGATCCACACTACCCTGATCCACACCACCCTGATCCACACTACCCTGATCCACACCACCCTCATCCACACTACCCTGATCCACACTACCCTGATCCACACCACCCTCATCCACACTACCCTCATCCACACTACCCTGATCCACACTACCCTGATCAACACTACCCTGATCCACACCACCCTGATCCACACTACCCTCATCCACACTACCCTCATCCACACTACCCTGATCCACACTACCCTGATCCACACCACCCTGATCCACACCACCCTCATCCACACTACCCTGATCCACACTACCCTGATCCACACTAACCTCATGCACATTACCCTGATCCACACCACCCTGATCCACACTACCCTGATCCACACTACCCTGATCTACACTACCCTGATCCACACTACCCTGATCCACACCACCCTCATGCACACTAGCCTGTCGTCAATGAAAATGCACTGTACTCTTGCTGTATGTTTTCTGTAGGACTCTCAATAGAAATCCATCGGTTTTTTTCCAGGATGGCGTGCTTGACAAAATGTTAGTATTGGCCTGCGCAAACTGGGCCGTTGATGTTTGACTCCACATTGGTACCGGAAAACACGATATTATCGGTATAACTTTAATTTCGGTGATTTCGGTGGAGCAAACAGGCACCTAAATTTAGATTACACCTAAATGCACCATAGTATCGACTGTATGTGAAGGGAACGCTGGTCACCTAATTCTACATCACACCTGAAACCTGGCGGGTTCCTGACACCGAAATTGTAATGCACCTAAAATTGCATGTTTTACAGTATTCAAACTATTCTACTCCAGATTACTACGGGTCAGACGAAAGAAAACGGACTTCAGGATATAATGAGCAAGCAAGGGCGTTGGTTTCAGTTGTAACATGGAAATTGTAACATGGGAAATTGTGGGCACAAGTTATGCGATCGAGTCCAGCAGCTAAACCAGATTTTAATCAGTCAGACCCTCGTTGAAATCAGCGCTAATATCCATGAACCTTCCAATTTGGAAGGCTGTTGGCTAGCACTATCGAGCAGTGCTCAAGCTGACTTTCTTGCCATGGAATGTCTCAGTACTTTTTGTCGGTTGTGTTGTGAAACCACAAGTTCTCGAGAGTGAAAGGCCTTCTCGCTTGTGACATTGTGTTCGTTTCAATGCAGTTGTTTTCCGACTCCGCCGTACCGCTGATGTTTACGACGTGGTATACGCTACAGGCGCTATGTGCGGTTTGCTGTGTGCGCTGTAGTTGTATGTTGTATGTGTATGCCTTTCTCATATACGCTGTCATTTTCACGCTATAACTACCTGGTGGTTTTAGTGTTATTTATTCATTCATTGTTCAATATTGTTAGTCGATGGAAGTGAAATATACTGTTGAGAATAAATAGTTGTGCTCGTGCCGTGTGGGGTCGTTCGTTCCTGACACTTTAGAGAACCAGAGGGCTCACAACATTTGGCGACCACGCCAGGATACGAAGCGAGCATGGCACAGGAACCATGGATCATTGAAGCCCGCTTTATCGCCAATGGAATTCTGTTAGGATTGGAAGGCGATGAGTTGAGGGACCATGTGAAGAAGAGGCTCCGACAGTGCGAGGAGTTTGAAGAGCGCAGTGCTAGACGGCAAGAGGGTGCGCTCCACACAGAGCTCAAGAAGATGAACGAGCGCATCGCCGTCAGTACATATGAGGAAGCAAAGCGAGATTTGCTTGCCTCGCTCGGAAGGACGCCGGACAAGGCGTGGAAGACTTTGCTTACAGACAAGCAGCGGTCAGTGGAGTATTTGAAGGCAGTGGGAGGATCAGATCCAAGGCCCACTGCGTCCGTGCAGTGCATGGCGACATCGGTCGGAGACGCTCAGAAGCAGCTGGAGTCTCGGCCGAACGACGTAGAAGCGCAAGACGTAGAAGCGCAAGACGTAGAAGCGCAAGACGTATGGGCGCAAGACGTAGAGGCGCAAGACGTAGAGGCCAAAGACATAGAGGCGCAAGACGTAGAGGCGCAAGACGTAGAGGCGCAAGACGTAGAGGCGCAAGACGTAGAGGCACAAGATGTAGAAGCGCAAGGCGTAGAAGCTAAGGAAATGAGAAGGGTGATACTGGTTAGCACGGAAGAAGTGAGCGGCGAGACTGTGTGGAACACGGAGATTGGATGTATGTTTTCCGGTCCAGCGTCCGCCCCACGAGGCAGTGGCCCAGTGACCGTGTCATGGGTGAGAGCCAAGATCTGCAAGCTTATCGGTTGTGTGTTGTCTGGTCCAGCGTCCGCCCCATGTCGAAGTGGATCGTTGACCGCGTCGTGTGTGACAGCCCAGAGCGGCAAGCTTCGCGAAATCGAGTTGGCCGAAGTGGTGAGCAGTAGTGATATTCCATCATGGCCACCCCCACAGCAGCGGATGACTCGTTCTGGGCGTGTAGTCAGAGCCCAGGTCGCTTTGGACTTGTGAGTTGTTGTACGGCGGTGAGAAGCCCTTTGGCGGGGAGAATGTTGTGAAACCACAAGTTCTCGAGAGTGAAAGGCCTTCTCGCTTGTGACATTGTGTTCGTTTCAATGCAATTGTATCCCGACTCCGCCGTACCGCTGATGTTTACGATGTGGTATACGCTACAGGCGCTATGTGCGGTTTGCTGTGTGCGCTGTAGTTGTATGTTGTATGTGTATGCTTTTCTCATATATGCTGTCATTTTCACGATAACTACCTGGTGGTTTTAGTGTTATTTATTCATTCATTGTTCATTATTGTTAGTCGATGGAAGTGAAATATACTGTTGAGAGAAAATAGTTGTCCTCGTGCCGTGTGGGGTCGTTCGTTCCTGACACTTTAGAGAACCAGAGGGTTCACAACAGTTGTGTGCTAGATTGTGCACGTCTGAATGTTCAAAATCTGGTTTAGTTGGCGGACTTGATCGCACAACTTGTGCCAACATTTGTCCATGTTACAGTTTTTCCCTTGGCTCACCATCTGAGTTCAACTAGAATGCAGGTGGAGTATTCTTCTCTTTTTTACATTTATTACTGGCTCAGTATCCGAGTTAAAATGCATTTCATTTGTGATCGTGATGAGCAGTGTACGCTAGGTGCAGCGTAGGGCTAGGCGGATAATGCTCGCCGAAATCCCTCATTCTGCTTTTCGGTCTGCTCAATATTCTGCTCATGAAAGTGCATTTTCTGCTGAAATTTCTGCTGAAATCCAGTTATGTAAAAATACACTTGGCACACATAATTGGGTTCAGGATCTAAAAAGATGAGTCATGTGAAATACTAGACAAGGCATGAAAAAGAACACATGTGGCCGGCGCAGGCGCACTTCAGATGAAGGCTAGCCACACTACATAATATGGCCCAGTTGCAGCGATTTTCGACCTTCGTTACAAAATGCTTGTTTTGCGAACATTTTCAAGTCTGACTTCACCGGTGTCGTGATCCACGGAATACCCGTCCGCGGCCCGGCTTGCGCAGCAAAAGATGATTTGATTTGAATCCTTTCACACAGCGGGCTTTTTCACCGAAGGTCGAAAATCGCTGCAACTGGGCCATATTATGTAGATCTACGACTCGTAGACTTCTGCCACTGGCCTGCCATTCAAGGCTGCTACCTTCCGCAAAGTAACAGTTCCGGCCACATTTGGTGGATGGATGGACTGCGTGTCGAAGAACGCGGCAAATCTGCTGCAAAAGCAGAACGTCGCACGCCAATTCCGTGGTAACCGTCATTTGACATGGCAGAGAATGCTTTTTCAGCCCCCGTTCTGCCGAAATATGCTCGACCCCCCAAACAGGCGTTTTCTGCCGAAAATTCTGCCGGCATTATCCGCCAAGCCCTAGTGCAGGGCACTCCCGAAGCCTAATGTTGCCACTTGATTCAAGGCACATAGCACGGAACGTGTGAGAACAAGGAGAGCGTGTGCGCATATCTACGTGTGCACGTTTGCTTGCGTGCCCTGTGAGATTAAGGTAGCTCGATACCAAGGCACCGCAAACTGGTCTTCTAAGGGGCACATTATATGTGCAACCCTAGCCCGGGCTGGAGCGGACAGGCCAGCCCACCGAGGATGTTTACATGTGCACAGCCGGGCTGGTCGCCAGCTTGTTGTGAGTTTACACGGTAAAACCTGGTGTAAGCGACCTTTGTGTTTAGCCCTTTGTCCTTTCGCCCATACTTGAACCGTACACCTGTGTACGCGTTCAACCCACGCATGTTCAAAGCGACCTGGAAGCTACGCGGATCACCCGATCCACATGAACATTCACGTGCACACAGCCTATGCTATGTAGAGGATGATACACGGGTCGCTGGGGCCGGGGCTAGTAGTAGTTGCCATTTGAAAAAATTCAGGAAATCGAAGTCGAAGTTTGCTTGCGCCGTAACTTACTTCCGACAGGTGGCTTGATGCAGATGAAGCGCTTGTTTGAGGATAGCTGGAGTGACCCAAGCGACAATCCTATGTCCTCTGATGAAGAGAACTAACTGGACGAAGCCTTAGTTGAAGGTGTTGATTCCGATTTTGATGACGACGCGGATTATTGTGTCGTAACCGTCAACCCAACTGTCGGACATGTCGACCGCTCCGATTTGAGTGCAGGATCGGCAGAACAGCACTCGAGTGGTGAAGAGAGTGTACCACCGCTGTGTCTTATCCGTCGTGGAGCGGCAGGGACAGCTAGAGTGCCGCAACACGTGGAGCGGGAGCGTAGTCCGATCCCAGAGAGGTCCAGATCTCCGTCACCTGCGCGCCGTCAAACTCATGGTCGACAGCCGCGCAGAGCGAGGAGAGTAGCCGCACGGGGCCGAAATGTCGAGCATGTCGCCACTGGCACTCCTCTGGCTAATGCTCCGTGTTTGCCCAACATGCCAGGGCTTCTACTCCAGGTCATACTTGTACAAATTGCACATTATTATACATAGGAAAGAACTTGAACTTTGAAATTTCGCAGTTTTTTGCAAAAAAATCATTTTTGATACTCTTGTTTAGCCATGCCTATCTGAGGAATTCAACCCAAACTGCATTTTTAGTTCACAAATATCATAAGCTTTCAGGAAAACATAAAGTGTACATACAAAATATCAGCTGCTTGGGTATGGTGAGTGGATTTGTTGAAGCAGGTACCCCTCACATACATTTTGGGCAAAAGGACAAAGGGTTAGCGACCACCTGCTTTTAACGACTGTTTTTCCATGCACGGACAGTTCTACACAGAAACTGCACTGGATGCAGTGACCACCTGCCTTGCGCGACCAGCGACCAACGTTTAGTGTACCAAGTGCCATATTGGTGCTGCACACAGCGACCAAAACTAACCAAAAGCAAGTCATACTCATGTTATAATAGCTAAACAACTTTTTTTCATTTTTCTGCTCAGTTCTTTTCGCTCTATGGCATTTGCTTGGTATGGTGACCTGCTAATAGTATCACCTAGTTTATTCTTTCTGTTTCTCACATTTGGACCTTTCTGTATAAAGGTTGTTTGCAAGTACAGGTGGAATCCTGATAATTCGAACCTCAAAATGCTAGTTATTCAGACCTTCTAAGTATCCAAACATGAACCCACAACACAATATGCATGTCAAAATGCTCTCATGGCCACGCAGAGTTGCGCTATGGACCTTCCTTAGACACAGATTGCACATATACAAAACAGACCGGCACAGCCTGCTCATGCAAACCGAACTGACCAGTACAGTGTACAGTGAACTTCAAATTACACTTTGCTAACTTCGAATTACCAACACGGATCCCACGCATTTTCTATGTAAGTAGAATCCGTGGGATTTCTAATTAACTGGACATGTCCAGCTCGAGGTTCGAGTTATCAGAAAAAATGTATGTGGGAATTATGTTGATAGAAATCGGTCCTGGAAAAACTTCTATTTAAGCGGCATGTTCGAATTAAGCCACCTTCGAATTATCAGGATTCCACCTGTAGTTCACCTTGCATTGTTCTGACACAATCATGCATGTCAACAAATAGACTATGCTCACGGCATGTCCTTCTTGCTGCTACACAAAATACATGCATTCCACATCAAAGATTGTCGAGAAAATGTCGGGAATCCTCTTCAAAACTTCCCCCAAAAATTGAAAGTTTTATTTTGTAGTATGGACGCAGTGTCGACGCCATTATAATACAACTCATCTGTATACTGGCCCGGCTAGTCTGTTTTCATGTGCTTTTCTGGCCTGCAAAGTCAGGATCCCGGGTGCCTCGTGGCAGGATCCCGCCTCGTTGGACCAGCCCACTTGACACGTAGACTCACAACAGGTTTTGCGCGGATTTATGTACAAGTCTGAGATCCCGCTTGTCGACCAGCCCGGATTGAAGCTGCACATACAGTCCCCCCCCCCCCTAAGAACCCTCCTGTGCTTACCTTGAGTAGAAACATTTTGACATCTGCCCCTTGCGGGTTCAAGCCACTTTGTTCACATGCCCCCCCCCCCTTCAATGGTGCTTTCGATTGAAGCCTCCTGTTCCGAGGAGAAAATTCAAAATGAGGCTTTACATCAAATTGGCCTTTTATCTATTGTTGTCCCGCTTCAGTGGCTCTGGGTGACGTTTTAGAAGGTAGCCAGAGACCATCATAGTGCAAATGCCAAAACAATCACAAAAAGGCACATAACGATGGCAGCCGAAGCAGTGGAGACGGGGCTGAAGCAGTTAAACTGGCCAAGGGTCTCGCTATCAAGACTGCTCATGTGCGCCAAACAGACGGAAAGAATGCAATGCCAAAAGGAAATGAGCAGGCGCACTAGCGAGCAAAATGAGGAACACAGTCGACGCCACAGTCTTGTAACGTGTACTTAACATTAAACTGCAGAACAGGGAAATATTAGGACAGAATGATTTTACTACTACCCTTGTTCAATTGATGACCTGATTCAAGCGTGAACTAGATCAATGGTGAATATATTTAGATTGTATTGAATGCAATCGATTTGAAACGGGCCATTTCTCACAATACTGTAAAACCGGAAAGTTTAACGACCAAAGAGTTTAACGTTTTTGTAATTTTGGCATGATAACGTGCAGAAAGTTGAGGGCTTACCTGGCCACCCACCTGTGTGCGCATCTTTACACAGACATCTCGCGATAACGTATCTTCAAATAACGGAAACAAATTGATGGTGTTAGGCTTTGCGACTCAGACTTTCCGCTTTTTCAGTATCGTGTAAAAGTCACAATGCTCCCAGTCAATGTTGAATTCTTTATTCTCACGATGGCACCATCGCCAATAAGAGATAAATTCATGAGAAGGTGAGAATGTTATTGGTCTGATTGTGGCTTTTCCTGTCCATCTTGCTGCTGACGCCGCCGCTATTGCTGCCGGTGCTGCTTCTGTTGCTGCTGCATTGGATGCTGCTTGTAATGGTGTCTTCCTTCTCAGGGCGATCTCTTCGAACCCTAAGTTCATACCACCCAGTAAGTTTGTGTTCCAGTATCGTCTCGAAATGATTCTTTTAGGGCTGAAACGATCATGGACTTTCACTTATCGATTGGCATCATTATTCCGCGTAAGATTTTCGTCGCCTGTGTGGTGTGTTCCTCCACCAATGAGCGCGTACTATAAATATTTATCGCTGTTCTCACACTTTACCATTTAGCAGCTTGCATATTATTATTATTATTTTGCTTGTTCGCGTTGGCATCAACCTGCATAAGGCAGGTATATAGCCTTCGCTTAAGCTGCCATAAAAAAGAAAGCTCATCCTAAGCTTGCATATGCCATTGTTAAATTAATGTGGAAAACGCGCACTTGCGCCATTTCTGGTGTATAAAAATGATCATCCCTCCATTATCATCATTATCATCCTCTACTGATGAGCTCCGACAGGGAGCGAAACAGCTGTCTAGAGGCGTGGAACAATATTATCTCTCAACGGAAGTGTCCTTGCTGGTGTCTGTATGGTTTGGCTGAGAGCGCGTGCTTGTGATGAGTTAGGAATGCAATAGAATGAAACTTCTGGTAAGTAAATTGGGTCAGAGGCAGGAGATGATGGATGTCAAGGTACTGCAAGAGTTGCTTCTTGACGAGTGATTCTGTTGTAGTACGTTATTTTGTGTACGTCGTGTGTACGTCATGTTGGTGCATGCGCATGTTGCTGTGGTATGAAAAGCTGTCTTCGTCTTGAGTTCATGATGTGTTCGTCTTCAGTTCGTCATGTCTAGTTGTGTTTCGTCGTCGTGTCAATAAACAGTCTTCTAAATGTAGTTATCGTCGTCCCTTTGTACAAGTGTGGAGATGGCACGGGACTGGGAGCAGGGAGAGAAAAGCGGGTTACAACATTGGTGGCAGCGGTGGGATTCGAACCCACGCCTCCGGAGAGACTGGAGAGACAATACGTGAGAGCATAGGAAGCAGGGATACAGGTATGTAGTTCTTGGCTTGAACGGGGTCTCCAAGTTTATAATTATAGTGGATTGACCTGGGATACTTTGAATGATGTGGGGAATTGTCCGGTTGAGAGTAACAGATTCACAATGCGGATGAAGCAAGGTGCGATGGTTCTGCAGCATGTCTGGTGCACAATTGGAGGAACCTGGTCACTTCCCGTCGCCTTGAATGGATCGACGTCACAGAGACATCGGCTGACATCATCATGTGAAACTGGCTGGAAATCGGATAGGGATGTCTCCAATGCTGACACTGCGGGTGGCCGATGGTTAATTGGCATAGCTGGGTTTTGGACAATACTAACAAAAAGTGACGTTAATTCTGTAGTAGATGCCTGTGGCTCCGAAGACTCTTTCTTCCTACCAGCAATTGCATTCGTGATTGACCAAAGTGTAAAGGAAATGCTTCTCCCCCTGGCCCCCGCCACACAACAACGCAAACTCTTGATTGTATCTTCAATACTCTTATATTATACCAAGAAATGACGAGGGCGCAGGAGGAGAGAGACAAACTTGGTGAAGGGACAAAAAGGACAACGGGAAGACTCCCGGGAAAAGACTCAAAGAAAACAACAACGAACAAGCAGTAATAAACCGACGACAAATCGAGGCGACCAATCAGGGACTAATACGTACAGAACACATGACCAAGACCAAGACAACCAGACCACGGACGAATCATACACGACTCTCATTCCCAGACCAAACTGGCACTGCGCATGTACAGCATTCACTTGATAGTCACTCTCACACAGACGGAAGCACATCCTCACACTCTGACAACGCGTACTCTTGCGTGCACCACATACCATAAACGTCACACATCACACCATACTCGCGCGTACACTTAGACCATATAATTATGACATCAGACACTGGACTCCACAAGACAAGAACCAAATACAACGACATGCGTAAATCATAGTCGTACTACAAATTCGTAACATAGCCCTCTCCTTTGCGGAGAGTCGACCTCGACTCTCGACTCAGGGAAAGTAAAGAACAGGCAGAACAAATCACAAACATCAGAGAAAAGAAACAAGACGACAGGAGGAGAATGATGAGCAGGCGGCAGTCGTCGGGGACCGTGCAGAGTCTGAGTAGGTCCCTTGGTCGTCTGGCCAGTTCGATATGGACAAATCAGAAGACAGCAGAACACAGCAGGCATTCAATCAGGGAAAAGAACAAATCGAAAATCCATCGATACACTGTCACACAAACTTCAGAAGGGGAGAAACCCACAGGACTCTAACCTGACTAGAATAACTCGGCGCGGAGCCGGCATAAGTGTCCCACACTTTTCCGATGACGGATCATCTTGTCGTCCCACGACCTCGTATGATCCTGTCGTCCCACGACCCATAATAATCTTGTCGTCCCACGACCCATAATATTTATATATTTATTTTATTTTATCCTTCCCCGACAAAAGGCTAAACAAACACTGGGGTCCACCAGCTCACTACGCGAACCGTGGCTCACCATGATCGGACGTTCACGTGGTGAAATGAATAGACCCGCAGGTCGATACAAAACGAGACCAACATACGCTCCCTGAAAAGACCAAACCGAACTAAGCTGACAAACCAAACAGGTACACGACTACACTGAAAGGCTAATCAAGAAACTGCACAAACCCCAGCAAATATACGCATACTGACTGCCAAAAACCAAAACAGAAGGACACAAGAGAGACACAAGAACCGGATCGCCGTCACAAAGACCGATGATGACCGATGATGTAGAAACGATAGCGCGAAAAGATAACAAGCAACAAAAACAAAACCCACAGCACCCGGGCCCTGGGCGCTTCTGGGAAGTAAAACATACTGGACACACCATATCCGAAGACGTTCGCATGCAACAACTAAACTAGTACAACAACGACATCCCGTTCCGGGAGCGACTCACCGGATAAGAAGCTTGCTTGTAGTGCAGCGCGAGGGTGAATCAGCCTGATGAACGACCACTGTCTCCCAACATGTACCACCAAAGCATGGCGGGGCGAAGTCGAGTAGCATCATGCCGTCGGTGTCCAGTAGAGTATCCACAACAAGCAACGCATAGCCAAACTTTGACGAAGAGAAAGGAATAAAAATAATAAAGTCGCCAAGCGTCGACAAAGAAAAAGGAAAAACGAAGGGGCAACGGCGAGCACAAACTGAAACCACGGCTCAAACGATAACGATCTCAGGGTCGTGGGTTACGATCACTAGTTGGGCGCCAATGTAAAGGCCAAGGGGGGGGGGGTGAAATGCTTCTCCCCCTGGCCCCCGCCACACAACAACGCAAACTCTTGATTGTATCTTCAATACTCTTATATTATACCAAGAAATGACGAGGGCGCAGGAGGAGAGAGACAAACTTGGTGAAGAGACAAAAAGGACAACGGGAAGACTCCCGGGAAAAGACTCAAAGAAAACAACAACGAACAAGCAGTAATAAACCGACGACAAATCGAGACGACCAATCAGGGACTAATACGTACAGAACACATGACCAAGACCAAGACAACCAGACCACGGACGAATCATACACGACTCTCATTCCCAGACCAAACTAGCACTGCGCATGTACAGCATTCACTTGACAGTCACTCTCACACAGCCGGAAGCACTTCCTCACACTCTGACAACGCGTACTCTTGCATGCACCACATACCATAAACGTCACACATCACACCATACTCGCGCGTACACTTAGACCATATATGACATCAGACACTGGACTCCACAAGACAAGAACCAAATACAACGACATGCGTAAATCATAGTCGTACTACAAATTCGTAACAAAAGTATTCACTGGTCACTGGTTTTGCACTGGGCAGTGAAGAACTCGTTTCTGAGCTTACGATTTAGCTTCCGCGCTGCAACCCTTGCAGCTCTACGTTGGTTGCATAGCTCCTCATTTTGTTTGTCCCACATCAACATCAGCTGCATTCAACCATGGACCAGGACAGGTGCCATTCTTAGGTTGGTGTATTACTGGTGCATGGTCGTCCCGAGTAGAGGGGAGAGCGGAGGTTAGTCAATTTGTCAATGTTTCCACATCTGCTTGCTCTTGCAGAGTGCTCAGCTTTTTGCTGAGGTCTACATTAAACTGTTCCCAGTTTATCTTATATAGCCGGCGAAAAGGCTTGCGGGTTGCCTTCGGGTGGACGGTCTTCTGATGTCCAGAATGCCCACAAGCAATGCAAGCTAGGACTGCAAAATGGCCGCTGATATCCAATGGAACAGTTTCGCATCGAACCTGGACTGGGATAGTGGACAGAAATAAGTCAATTAAAGTTTGGGTCTGCCTGGTGACACGAGTTGGTGACGTCACGTTGTTTCGGAGATTGAATTGCACCAATGACTTGTGCAAGTGCCTGTGGTGTGGTGAAGTTGTGGCATGCACGTCAACATTAAATCCACAACCAGAACTGTGCCACCTTGACAGCCCTGCACAGCACGAGAGAGCGAGTCTTCAAGGTCGGTCCAGTAGTTTACGGGCTGGTCTGAAGCCTGGTAGCAGCATCCAATTACCATGGTGTGCATGCCGTGAGTTACTCCAATCCATAGAAGTTCCTGGACATCATGTTCCAAGACGGTCCTGCGCCTAGCATTGACCAGCTCAGGACAGTATAAGCCACGCCGCCTCAAGCTTGGTGTATACGGTCTTTGCGGAACAATTTTACATGAGGAATGCATAGCTCACCGTCGGAAATATCTTGGGGTAACCAGGTCTCTGCTAAGCCAAGGACATGGATACCACGGGGTGCAATGTACCGTTGAATCTCACTGACTTTCTTGCTCCGACTACATACGTTGAGCAATGAAATGGTCGATTCTTGCTGTGCAGTTGGTCTACTGGGCATCGCACTTTCTAGATGATGCCTTGATGGCACCAGGCGATTCTTCTGCTGGACGTTTCCCGGGACGGATGTGTGGTAGGCCATTTAACAGATCCATTCCCTCATCATCACCCACAGGTGATCGGGTTGATGGAGAAGTACCGGTCGAAATTCCATTGACGTGAGTACAGAGGTCTAGGCCAGAAAACTCTCGAATTAACTAGTGCTGCACTCTTGGCATACACAGCAAGGCGTGCTGAGGATGATCTTTCCTTTTTGAAAGTTTTGCATTCGTAGATCTTGACGTTCACTTTGGCTTCACTTGCTCTGATGGTCACAAACTGAGTAATCTTCTCAGGTACTGCACTGCAGGGAAGATTGCCAACGAACATCACACACTTCCTTCCTGCAGGCTTTCGTTCACAAACAAGTTCCCATGCTCCACCGTCTTTGTTGCCCTTGTAGAAACTAGATAGCACTGGGTTGGATGCATTTTTCGAATTTTCGACTCTCTGCGATACGATTGTGCTCTCAAGAGAAGAACAATTTACTGTCGACAGCTACGGAGTTCTCGGAGGTCGTACGGTGGCCGCTGACTGGAGTACCCATACTTGCCCTCATTGATGGGGCAGCGCCACCAGTTCGGTTCTTTCCACTTTTTGGCCTTTCTTGTTCGTTGTTCCTTGACTCTTTCGGAATTTTCATCACCGTGATTTAATGCAGATGATCCAGCAGCTTTCAGAGACAGTTCTTCAACCTTCCGGGTGAGCAAATCAATCTCCGGCATTCCGTTCTCTGCTGGACTGTGTATTTCAGTATTAAAAAATAAATAAAAAAACAACAAAAAAACGCTTCTCTCGATCTACTGCCTCGCGCCGGTCTCGCTGGATTTCAGCTACAATTTCAGTCAGGTCGTTTAGGCAATCACTACATTTGTTTGTAATAACTGAGCTGAGTAAAAGACTCCAATATTCATGGGGTCAACCACCATCCTAATACTACTATTGTTCTTGTCGCCATGGAGAGGGCAAAAAACCTCCTGGCATGGGACAACCTAAAAAGAAAACTTTCACAAAAGGATTTAGAGCTCTCAAAACTTCATCCGCAGAGATCAACGTGTCAACAACGTCTACTAAATGCAGGGCATGCGCTAAGGATTAAAATGAGGTCTGACACAATGTCCTGCCAGTTGCAAAAATGGCCGGACATGTCCGGACATGCAAATTTTCACATCAAATCACACAATGTTCAGTTAAGAATTAATACCATCGAAATGTTATCCCGGCGTGAAAAGAGCAGTATTAAAGGGGAAGTTAAGGCAAAAATTAAAATTTCACCAGTTGTAGTCTTCGGGGTGCTGAGTCAAATGGTCTTGGTCCGAGAAAGCTGAGACGCTCCCTTCCTACTTGAATCCCAATCCAACTCGCGCACTTCCACCGAAACTGGGTGACTGCGCCCTACTAGATGGGGATTTGTATGCAAAATGTCACTAAAAGCGCCATTTCGTTCTTATAAAAGCACGGATGACCGCGATTGGCCCATATATTGTAGTCTTTTGGCCGCTGAGTCGACTGGTTTTGGTCCGAAAAGGCTGCGATGCAGCGTTCCTCCTTTACTCCCAATCGAACATGGTTGAAGCGGTCACGTGCTCCTGGGTGCCCAAATCACCTGGTCACCACGCCAGCAGGCGACAACTTTCACACCAAGGTTCAACTCGAGTTCAACTCCAGTGACAGGACTGCACCCAAAAAAGGTCAAACAGGCTAGTAAGTTGTACCCTGCAGGCACGGTGACCAGGTGACTGGCGTACGCAGGAGCACGTGACCGCTTGTTCAACCATGTTCGATTGGGAATAAAGGAGGAACGCTGCATCGCAGCCCTTTCGGACCAAAACCAATCGACTCAGCATCCAAAAGACTACAACATATGGGCCAATCGCGGTCATCCGTGCTTTTATAAGAACGAAATGGCGCTTTTAGTGACATTTTGCATACAAATCCCCATCTAGTAGGGCGCAGTCACCCAGTTTCGGTGGAAGTGCGCGAGTTGGATTGGGATTCAAGTAGGAAGGGAGCGTCTCAGCTTCCTCGGACCACGACCATTAGACTCAGCACCCCGAAGACTACAACTGGTGAAATTGTAATTTTTGCCTTAACTTCCCCTTTAAAATTGTTGTAGTTTCTGTTTTACCACTGCAAGCTTTGGCTGCTGCTGCGTCGTCAAGTTTGCACAAGGCTCGAGCGATTGGCGCATACTCTATTGGGTTTCCGCTTGACTGCTCCTTGCCAAACAATGCCATGGCACGGCGATGCATTTCAGAAGCAGCATTATCTTTGAAGGCTGACGTTTTCAGGTTCCTTGAGCCAACGACGAAGGAGTCAGAAAAATTCATGCTGCTGCGAATTTTATCAACAAAACGGGAACACATCTTACACTTCAAATTTTCGACAACGCTACTGTCTGAGGGACTGCGCTCATAGCTCAGCCAAACAGAAGTTGAAAGCTCCCTATCATACTCGGCGACCCACTTGTCACAAGTGGTCGTCTGGACTCCTCTGGGCTTCTTTCCAAGAGGAGCACCCGAATCCGCGGTGCATGGCTTACTCTTGCCAGACGACATCACTAATGACTAGTACTATGAGACAAAGGATTGACGTGCCTTTTCTTTTTTGTACTTTGCAAAAAGTGCGCGGACACTTTGTCCGGGTGTGTACAAAACATCCGGAAACTGACCGTAAACGGTCGGAAATTGTCCGATGTCCGACCGTTATTTCGCGCCCTGAAATGTGTATGTGTGTGTGTGTGTGTGTGTGTGTGTGTGTGTGTGTGCGCGCCCGCGTGCACGTGTGTGTGTGTGTGTGTGTGTGTTGGGGGGGGGGGGGTGCATGCGTGCGTGCTGGAATCTGTGGACATGCGTGCTGTTTGCCCCTCCTGATTTTGCAGACCAACCGTATAAGATATCTACAGGTACAATATGTCCAACAAGCTCCTCCAGTTATGTGGAAAATGCCCTGATGTGCAGAGCCCCAGACAACAAATACAAGTTCACCTGTAATGCGACGGATCATGTCCTTAGCCAATGTGATCTGTTTCCGTCAAGCAGCACACCGCCGGCCGGTGTGACAATCCCCTACGCATCCTGCCCGGGATATACAGTTGTCAAGGACAACCCATGCCTAGGTGAGTTTTGATAACAAACATGTTTAAGAGAGCATGTCTGAGAATACCAAATTATGTGTGCAAGTGGATCTCTCCGATTTCGCTCAAAATTTGTAGGCAGGTTCCCTTTGGGGTGTGGATCGATTGTGCAAAGCCCTTGAAAAAGTTTCTGAAGGGAACCTTGAAATTTGCATACCCTCAAAATGGTCAAAATATCACATTATTTATGGGTCTAGAAACAAGTCACGCCACAGCGTATCCGAACAAGCTATGAACAAAACTTCCTGGAGCAGTACCGCTTAGCCACGCCAGGATCCCAGAAGACGAGGTCCATCACCCCCTGACGCCACAAATGATCGTCTTGAAAATAGCCAATTTACAAGCGCTGGCAAAATAGCCAGCTACGTCCTCAATTGGCAAGAACTATACACCGGCAGATAGTAGAACACCTCTTCTAGCGCTGAGGACATGTCCCCCATCTTCCTTTTGGGGTTTTCTTGAAATAAACTTTTTTGAATTTTTCCACTCGACCATGCCGAAATACGGCCAATGTCATACCTGCGAAGGAAAGCTCGCCCCTCCGCGACGTCTCCTCAGCAATTCCTACTCCAGCACTACTCCCAAGGCCGCAGAACAAAGTGTATTGTTGACTCTGACAAGGAAAAGCAGCGGTGACCACTTGTCACTCCAAACGACAAGCTTTTCCTTGCGCCACCAATAATATTTTGTGCGACTGTTGATGCAAAAGTGACTGAAGTCCTGAGCGCAGTTTTTGAATTTTATTGCAAGATGCACGGTGAGATCGCGTGCTCTGTGACGTAGGATGACGTTTCCTGGATCACGACACGCGGCCATCGATCGTGAACGTATCTGGAACGCTACTCGGAACAGACCATGATAGCAGGGGTAAGATGAGCTACATTTCCTGCTTGATCTGCTGAGAACCCCCACAAACTGTCCTAGGAGTGTTGCAATGGCAGCAAGCCGTTGAAATATGCCCCTCGTACAGCATGGAGAGTTATTCATCTTTCACACTTACCTCCTGCAATCCCGAACATAGTCCAACAGTAAAATCCCTTGGTTTCATGTCGATGCTCGACGAAAGCTGCTAGCTCGGTCGCTTTGTGTTGACTGGCACACGAGCCGCACTGGCTGCACGAACTTACTTGTCGCGTTTTTTTGTTTGAAGTTTTATTTTTACATCGCAAACCAAACGGGCATTGATGCCCAATATTATGACGGTGATAGAGCGTGAACTGCATTACAGATTTCTTACGTCATAAAGAATGTAATTTCATCATCATTTCACTGGCCTTCGACCTACATGGTCAGGGAAAATCCTGTTTCGTAGGCCTACAACACGGTCAGCGTGTTCTTGAGCGCAGTAACAACACAAGTGTGATCACTTCCAGACCAACTGGCGTTCAAGGCGAGTAACAAGCGCACTTTACGAAGGTGACTCTGAAATCTTGTGAGCCGTGATCCACGCGACTTGGCATTCTTGCGTCACAAGGCACGTGATTTCACCGTGCCTCTTGTAGTAAAATTCAAAAACTGTGCTCAGGACTTCAGTCACTTTTGCATCAACAGTCGCACAAAAAATTGTTGGAGGCACAAGGAGAAGCTTGTCGTTTGGAGTTTTTATTTTTTTATTTATTTTTTTATCACATTGCACATACCTACGGAAGAAGGGGAGAGAAAACGAAGACGAAACAAAAAGACAACAATGGGTGTGTAGGCGCTACATGAGCTGCGCTGGTGAGATGCAGTGGACTCCCCCGACCAAGGGTCTCGGATCGGCGTACACAGCAAGCACCATGGGAGAGCGGGGCGAGAGGAATGGCGAAGAGAGAGGGAGAGAGAGAGAGTGAGAGAGAGAGAGAGAGTTAGAGAGTGAGAGAGAGAGAGGGAGAGAGGGAGAGAGAGAGAGAGAGAGAGAGAGAGAGAGAGAGAGAGAGAGAGAGAGAGAGAGAGAGAGAAAGAGGGGAGAGAGTGAGAGAGAGACAGAGAGAGAGAGAGAGAGAGAGAGAGAGAGAGAGAGAGAGAGAGAGAGAGAGAGAGAGAGAGAGAGAGAGAGAGAGAGAGAGAGAGAGAGAGAGAGAGAGAGAGAGAGAGAGAGAGAGAGAGAGAGAGAGAGAGAGAGAGAGAGAGAGAGAGAGAGAGAGAGAGAGAGAGAGAGAGAGAGAGAGAGAGAGAGAGAGAGAGAGAGAGAGAGAGAGAGAGAGAGAGAGAGAGAGAGAGAGAGAGAGAGAGAGAGAGAGAGAGAGGGTGAGAGAGAGAGTGAGAGAGATAGATAGATAGAGAGAGAGAGACATAGAGAGAGAAAGAGAGAGACACACAGAGAGAGAGACACAGAGAGAGAGAGAGACAGAGACAGAGACAGAGAAAGAAGAGAGAGGAAGAGAGAGAGAGAGACAGAAAGAGGGAGAGAAAGAGTGCACAAGAAAGAAGAGAGAGAGAGAGAAAGAGAGAGATGGGTAAGTGAGGGAAAGAGAGTGGAAGAGGTGGAGAGATATAAGTATAGAGAGAGAAAGAGTTCAGCGGCATATCGTCGCTATGGCTATAATGCTACTTTGAGAAGAGGGTCAACATAATGATTTGCGTCCACTGATGGCAGGCCAGTGTGGTAGATGTGCATGGCTAGCACCAGTCATGAGCAGAGCACCAGTCACTCTGTTGCAGGTGACGGTATGCAGCAATCTTGAATCTCTGCAGGTGTTTCCGGGCTGGCTGCTTGTCCAGAATTGCCCGTGGCAGTCTATTCCACACTGGCACGATGCAGTATGGGGAAGAGCGCAGAAGGTAATCAGGAGCTCGTGGCGAGAGATTCAGCTCAAGCTGGTGGGGATGGTGCTGTGCTTGGGCTGCTCGTGTGCGGCGATGACGTGGCGGTATAGCCGGCGGGGGACACATGGCTGCAACTTGAGGCAGACCATGGCCACACATCAGTTTGTACAGTAGGCAGAGAGCAGAGACCTTTCGCCAAACAAGGAGGCTGGGAAGAATGGTACCAGGGCCAATGACATTTAGGGCGCGGAGCTGGACAGCATCCAGCATGGCCAGGTGTGAGGGAGCTGATCCCATACACACAAGGGGGGCATATTCCAGCATTGGCCGGACGAATCCTTTGTAAACAGTCACCCTGCCCGCGTGGCTGAGGAGGGGTGCTGCCTTCCGCAGGAGGCCCAACCGCTGCTTAGCACGTGATGCCACTTGCCGAAGGTGGAGTGTATAGCTCAGTTTAGAACCAAACGTCACTCCGAGCACCTTCACAGATTCATCTGGTGGAAGAGGAGTTCCGCCAAATGACAGCTGGGGAGGCACTGTATCCTTCCGCTGGTGCGACAGAGTGATAGTTTGTGATTTTGATGGCTCAAACGCAATCTTCCATCTCAGTGACAAGTGATCACCGCTGCTTTTCCTTGTCAGAGTCAACAATACACATTGTTCTGCGGCCTTGGGAGTAGCGTTGGAGTAGAAATTGCTGAGGAGACGTCGCGGAGGGGCGAGTTTTCCTGCGCAGGTATGACTTTGGCCGTATTTCAGCATGGTCGAGTGGAAAAATTCAAAAAAAAGTTTATTTCAAGAAAACTCCAAAAGGAAGATGGGGGGCATGTCCTCAGCGCTAGAAGAGGTGTTTTACTATCTGCCGGTGTATAGTTCTGGCCAATTGAGAACGTAGCTGGCTGTTTTGCCAGCGCTTGTAAATTGGCTATTTTCAAGACGATCATTTGTGTTGTCAGGGGGTGATGGACCTCGTCTTCTTGGATCCTGGTGTGGCTAAGCGGTACTGCTCCAGGAACTCTTCTAAGGTGAGGCAATGTTGGCTTGATGAAGTTTTGTTCATAGCTTGTTCAGATACGCTGTGGCGTGACTCGTTTCTAGACCCATAAATAATGTGATATTTTGGCCATTTTTGAGGGGTATGCAAATTTCAAGGTTCCCTTTAGAAACTTTTTCAAGGGCTTTGCACAATTGATCCACACCCCAAAGGGAACCTACCTGCAAATTTTGAACGAAATCGGAGAAATCCACTTGCACACATACTTTGGTATTCTCAGACATGCTCTCTTAATAAAGCGTTGTGGACCCTGGCTAGTGCCAGACTCGATTTTACTGGTTTAAGTCAAGTACCACATTTTAAATAAAAGGGGGCTTGGCAGCTAACAACCGCTCTATTTAGGGCATGTTCGATAGGTAGGATCGGGATCCCGATCCACCGGATTCACTGGATTCGCACCCCTTCGATTGGTCGAATCCGGATCCAGATCCTTCGGATTTGGATCTGGTCAACCCACCTCGGGGAGGAGGGCTGATCGGACCCAACATATCTAAAGGTGACCTTTGTGCGTATATGGCGGGTAAAAATCTTTTTTGTACACATTGTCGTACGCACCCGTGGACGGAGATAGAGCTTGTTGACTTTTTGTACGACGCACGCGATGAGCATGACGTTCACTCTTTTGGGTGACTTGTGAGAGCGCCATTGTCAACATGGCGACAGTCAAGGTCCAAAATAAAGTGTTCAGTTGAATCTGAAGGATCCGATGGATCTGAGATCTGGATCCCGATCCCGATCATTACCAATCGAACGTCATGCCCTTAGTTGCTATTCACTCTTTAGATGAAAAATATTTAATTATTAAGGGGCTAATACTCATAAAAAGGACACACTTCAGGCTCATTACAAACATCTTGAAAGTTTTTGTCTTCACAAGTATACTTTCAAGCCTTCTCATCAGGTGAAATACAGGACAAAAACTTTCAAGATGTTTGTAATGAGCCTGAAGTGTGTCCTTTTTATGAGTATTATCGCATTTTTGTCTCAGAGGAAACTGTTTACCTATTAAGGGGCTGTCGGGGGTTACCAATTGTTTTTGCGAAACGAACAGTTTTAGTATTTTTCAACACCCACCCACCCACCCACTCTTTCTGCAGGTAAAACGAAGTCCAACAAAATATTGATTTCAATCTTCGGCACCCAGAAGTAACTGGGCATTTTCCATGTACATTCAATAATTATTTTCAAAACGAAACTCCTAAAACCCACCCACCCCCCAAACAAAAACATTTCGTTTTGAAAATACTATTGGTAACCTTGGACCCTAATGATGTCGAAAAATGATTGCCGTTTCGGGCCAGTCACCCATCTGACGATTCAGCCACCCGTCTGTCGATGGGTGACTTGCCCGAAACGCCAATAATTTTGCAACATCATTATTAAAAGAATTCTCATCTAAATAGTGAATAGCAACTAAATAGAGCGGTTGTCAGTTGACAAACCCCTTTTATTTACAATGCAGTTGTGTGATGTCCACCACTTTCTGAACTACCCCTTTTTAGGTCGGTTGTTAGGTCATTCAGAAGGTTGACTTACTTGCAAATCTCCACAACGCGCTGGATACTCCGAGCGTTGAGCTGGAGGTAAGGGACCTGCGATCTCAGCTTAATGAGCGATCCCTGAGGTGAGCGATCTCGGCCGTTCAGCAAAATGGAGCTGATTCCGAGTAGCCGATTACTTTCTTGTGGCTTGCGCTGCTCTTGCCTGCACAGCGTAAAAGATAATGCGGCGCTGTATCAACCAGAATCGCCCACCTGTTCCTCTCGAAATCCGCTCGAACTCTAGCTAGACCTTTCAGGTACTAGCAAACTAACTTGCTAACCAAAATTGGGATGAAATGGGCTGCCAAGTAAGCATTGGCGACATATAAACAAAGCTGAAAGATAAGCGACAATATCACCGACACGGACCAAGTAGGATTTATTCATTTAACCGACTTATATTTAACTTTGATTTGTTTGCACCCGTTTCTCTATGCTGCACGTTCAGGCTATCCAGAAACAGGCAGTATACTTGATGAATCTATTCGGTCATGTAACCCTTCATATACCTCCCTCATCTGTCTTTGTGAAGGTTTTGATCCTGCCATTCTGTGTAAAGGTAAGTTTCTTAGTGTTTTAAGAACTCCGATGGTTTCTATTTTTATTTATTTTTAATTTTCTATTGGGAACACAGCCCTACAAAGAGACATGTGGAGACAAACACAAAACAAGACACAGGGGATGTAGGGTGAGCCAAGAAAAAAACATTTGTAACATGGACGTCGGACTGTTCAACTCTGGTTAAGTTGGTGGACTCGATCGCATAACCTGCGCCCACAATTTCCATGTTACAAATTCCTAGGGTTTTGTTTAACAGAGAGGTTCGAGGCTGTCCAAGAGAGTGCTCAATACTGAGAGGCCGAGCTAGTTCCAACAATAAGAGGACGAAACATTGTTTTAACTTTTGAGTGTCACGCACTAAGCTATCATCAGATAATAGAAATGATTAAATCCAGATCAGTACTGGTTTATATACCCACAAAGCAAAGTGTAAATGACTGCATCATGGCGCAAGTCTAAAAGGTGCGAATGCCACCAGTGCAAATTGTAAATGACTGCATCATGGTGCAAATCTAAAAGGTGCGAATGCCACCAGTGCATATTGTAAATGACTGCATCATGGCGCAAGTCTAAAAGGTGCGAATGACAGCAGTGATGAAAGGTATCACTTCAAGTGACAAGCACTGAAGCTGGTTGCCTCCTACTTGATTATGTGGTTGCTGTGGATGGTTTGAAGTTCCGAAGGTAGTACTTTTTCTCGTGGCAACGCTTTGACACAAGTTCACTCCTCTTGTTGAGAGAGAGGATCTTGGGTGCTTTCGCGATTGCTAATTTTCCCGCCAAGCACAGGTTGCACCTTTTGCTTTCGTTGCTGTAGGCCAGTTTGCTGCGGTGTACAGCCCATTGAATACTGCATGCCTTCCCTTTATCCTTCTTGGCCCAGACGTACTGCAATAGGGGGTGTCCTTCTCGTGTTGTCTGTGGCGGAATGATGATTGGTGGTTATAGTCGCATTGTTTTAATGTTGTTGCTGTTAATCCCGTATACTACTTTTTTTTCTCACTACCTGTGGTGACTCTTGCCATGTACACAATGCTCTCTGGTAGACATACTCCGTCCAGTGGACATGATTCTTTCTTCTGACAGTTACAAGTCCTGGTGTCGTTTTCATCTCCGTTGGCTTGTTTCTTGGGTCCTAGAATCGTGTTTTTTTAAATTCCTTATTCTCACGATGGCACCATCGCCAATAAGAGATAAATTCATGAAAAGGTGAGATTGTGGGTTATGCAGTTGGAAAGTGATTTACATCACTTTGAATTTTACAAGTATGGGAGAGGGTGAGCGCTGCAGGAGCAGATTGAGTTAATCAGCAGTGAGCAGATTTCTTGTTTGAAAGCAGGTCTGGAGGAGACATCACGAATGCTAGCAGGGAGGGTATTGTAGTATTCTAGGGACTTGTACAGTGGGGGGTATTTACAGCGATCGGTTCTGGAGGGTGGGAGGTGCCAAGTGCGTGCGTGTCCAAGGCCTTACTAGGCCGTAACTTGAGCGGTGGTGTTGAGCAAGCGTATGTGTTGTGGGGCATACTGTATTTTCCGGTTGTAAGTCGACCTTTTACGACTTAAAATAGAAGGAGAAAGGGTGGGGGTCGACTTACAACCGGGATTCGACTTATAACCGGTAACTATCTGAATCTTCAAAAAATATGACCTGCACTGCATGCACGAGTGCACCATGTTTACACATTTTGCCAGTTTATTGGCCTTTTTCAAGGATTGGGAAGTTACATCCTCCAATAAGGAATGTTTACATGATTTGTTAGTAGCAGGAGGTGGTTAGTAGTGCTTCTTTGGGTGAAAACTTTAAAACGCAGAATTGAGACCTCCAGATAGAAGGGTCGACTTATAACCGGTAAAATACTGTATTGGTATTTTATGGAGTGGGCAAGAAGGGTTAGCTTAACTTTGCGGCGAGAACATTGTCGGCCATTTGAGCCGTTGGAGCAGTGTTGAATGATTCAGAGGAGTTTATGGGGGGGGGGGGGACGGAGGCAAATTCTGGCCGCCTTGTGTTGGATTCACTCAAGAAGGTCAAGGGCTGCGATTGAGAGTGGGGTGACAGCAATGCATGCATATTCAATTATAGGCAGGATATATGTTTTGTAAATGAGAGAGAGAGAGAGTGATTTAGTGTGTAGAGTTGATTTGAGCCGAAAGAGAATATTAAAAGATTTTACGGCTTTCTTCAGCACAAAGTCAAGGTGGGCTGACCATCTTAGGTCGTGCTGAAAGATGATGCCGAGGTGACGATGTTGTGTTACTGTTTCTACTAGGGTTTGCCCAAGTTTTTTTCGGGTAGTCGTGGTGGGGGTCAGTTAGCATGGTAGAACAGGAGGATGACGGTTTTCGTTTTATTGACCAGCAGGTGCCACACCGCTCTAACCATTCAGCTGCGGCATCGACGCTTCTTTGTAGCGCAGCCTCACACTCAATGTAGCTGCCTGTAATGGCAATTAGTGCGGTGTCGTCCGCGAACTGGCTACACGAGGTTGTAGCATTTTCACAGGCAGTGGGCAGGTCAATGGTGTACTCCAGGAACAGAAGTGTTCCCAGGACAGAGCCCTGGGGCACTCCGGCTGGTATTGGTATGAAGGCGGATGTTGTGCCTTCAACCTGCACCAGCTGTCTGCGTCCTGTCAAATAGGCTTCGAGCCACTTGTGAGCCTTGCCGTCGACACCGTAGTGGCTGAGCTTTTTCAGCAAGCCTTGATGCCATACACGATCAAAGGCTTTACTGAGATCGAAGAAACACGTAACAACATGCTTCCCCGCAACCCTAGCAGTGGATATCTGGTGGATGACCCGTGCAGTTCGGTCCCGTCTTGTTTCCTAAAGCCGGATTGGTTGGAGGGTAAGTGCGGTGCTATGTGATTGTACAGACGAGAGTGGACTATTTCTTCTTGTGTTTTTGATTATTATTATTATTATACTGAGCAGGCAGATGGGTCGGTAGTTGGTAGGATGGGAGGGGTTGCCCGACTTGTGGATGGGTGTAATAGTTGCGTCTTTTGAAGGACAGATTGTAGAGACTAGTGAGAGATGGGGAGATTTCCTTTGCAGTTTCTTTCAGGAGCCGAGTTGGGATGTTGTCAAAGCCTGGGCTCTTGCCAGTGTCTAGACTGCTTAGAAGCTTCTCGACCTCTTCCACTGTTGCTGCGATTGTATTTAGAGCATGACTGATGTCAGGGGTAGTGTTCATGTCTGGTGTAGTACAGGCGGTCTTGTCGATGGACTGTTGGCTTTGGGAGATAAAGAACTTGTTGAGAGCTGTTGCCTTCTCCATTGCCGTGGCTGCAGTGGAGTTGGCTGTCGATAGTGTGGGAATTGTTTGCTTAGGCGGTTTCTTCAGGTGCTTCAGTAGATGGTGGAGGTTTGTACCCGTTGACGTTGTTTGCTGGACAAAATCAGACTTAGCCTGTCGCAAAAGAGCGGTTACTCGGTTACGCTGGGCTGTGTACAGTTTCCAGTCTGAGTCTAATTGGGTCGCCTTGTAGGTGCGGAACTGTTTGTGCTTTGTTTTGATCTGGCTGAGGAGATCCTTCGTCATCCAGGAACGAGTGGGCGTAATATTTTTGCGGGATTTGCTTCTGGTCACTTGGCAGTGGTGCACGGCTAGTTTCAGTATCTGGTCTCTCCAGAAGTTCCAAATGATGAGGTTACTGGCTGAGGGTCAGTGGGATGTGGATGCAGATTGCAGGTAGCAAGAGCTTCACCCAGGGAGGCAATGCGTTCCTCGCTCCATAACCAGTATGTGCTGGAGGTGCTCTGCTGTGTAGAGCTGCTCTCATTTTTTTATTATTATTATTATTGGTATTATTGTTTCTGTGGGTGTTGTGCTGCTGGGGTCGTATGTTGCTTTGTATGACAACATGATCAGAGGCACCCATAGGGGGCAGGCTTGTGATGGTGATGTTATTGCAGCTGAAGCTAGAGATGGCCAGGTCCAGGCACGATGTAGGTGTGTGTTGGCGTAGGTGGGTGGCAAAGAAGACGTGTTGTGTGAGGCCACGAGTCTCGCACAGCCAATGCAGGTCTTCACCTAAGGCATCAGTGGTGTCGCTGGGGTGCCACAAGCAGTTCTTGGCGTTGAAATCGCCAAGAAGAAGTACATGTATCTCATCCTGGGGTCTTTCAACTAGCTTTATGGGTCTCTCCAGTCCAATCACGAACTCTGCCGGGTTGGACCGTGGGGGACGGTAGATGTTCCCTACCACAAAGGAGGCTTGGCCGGTTGTTATTCTAATCTAAATACATTCCGCTTGAGTCATGGGAATGGTAATTGTCTCGTGTCGGCAGCTGTGTGGTATGTATGTGGCGACTCCTCCACCAAAGGTGTTCCGGCCCGCTCTTATGAGTTTGTAGCCGTTGATGGCGTACATCCCGTCGCTGTCCGATGGATCAGCCCAGGTTTCCTGGGTGGCGATTATTGACGGTTGTTGCAACTCTGCCATGTGGCTAAGCTCGTCCATCTTGTTGAACAGGCACCTGACGTTTGAGCCGATGAAATTCGCGACTTCCATATTTATTTATTTATTTTTGGAATTTGTTTCTCTTTTTTTGGTATTTCCGCAATTGAAGGTATTGTTCTCACTGATATTGTGTGGAGAACAACGTTACAGAGTATGTAGGCTAGGATTGAGTATCCTGTGACACCAGTGGGCTGAAGCGTGAGCCCTGTGATGGGGCAAGGGGTTGGCTTTGGCCAGGGTCGATGTTGTCGCTCTCTTTTTGTTTTTTTTTGGAATTTTTGAAATCAGGTGAGGATTCCGCATTGGGACTGGGTCTCCTGCGTCGTTCGGAGGTAATCCAGGGGTTTTTCTGGCTGTTTAGACATGCCTGTGCAAGTCACCAGTGAAGGGAGGAGGTTTTCACCTTAACCATTTTACCGCTAGAGGGGTGTGCCATTCAGCCACTAGACAAAATGCTAAATGTTGCGAAACCATAAGTTCTCAAGAGTGAAAGGCCTTCTCGCTTGTGACATTGTGTTCGTTTCAATGCAGTTGTATCCCTACTCCGCCGTACCGCTGATGTTTACGACGCGGTATACGCTACAGGCGCTATGTGCGGTTTGCTGTGAGCGCTGTAGTTGTATGTTGTATGTGTATGTTTTTATCATATACGCTGTCATTTTCACGCTATAACTACCTGGTGGTTTTAGTGTTAGTTATTCTGTTGTGTATCGGTTCTATTAGGAAGAAAGACTTCTCATGGCTCATTTTTGTTGTGGTCCCTTCGTTTATTTTGGTTTGTTTTGCGTTTTGCTTTGACTCGTATTGGACTGGTTTTGGTTGCATGTATAGTTTGTAAATGAACCAAGTAACGGTTACATCATTGTCATGCGAAAAGAAGAAGGACAAAATGTTACTAGTTATGACTAACTGTCCACCAACGCGACCAGATCTTATACAGTCAGCGAGTGCGACAAAATGGCATAAAACTGACAAGGAGTACTGAGACATTCGGCGACCTGACATCTAGCTCCAACACTTCTCCAAGGCGCAAACCAACAACGTTCCAACTTGGAAGGCTCAGGCTCTTCTTCGTTGCGCTTTCCTTCCCCTCTTGGACCTTTCCGAACCTGAGCCTTCCAAGTTGGAAGGTTGTTGGTTTGCGCCTTGGAGAAGTGTTGGAGCTAGGTGTCAGGTCGCCGAATGTCTCAGTACTCCTTGTCAGTTTTGTGCGGTTTTGTCGCACTCGCTGACTGTATAAGATCTGGTTACGTTGGTGGACAGTTAGTCATAACTCGTAACATTTTGCCCTTCTTCTTTTCACAATTATTTAATTGGCTCACCATCCGAGTTTCACTGTCATGCGTTGTGTTTTGTTTGCACGCATGCTCATATGCTGTCATAATGTTTAGTCTTTTTCTTCAGTTTTCAGTTTACCTCATCGTGTCTGGTCTTCTTGTCTGTCCGTCTCCGTCTTGTCAAGAAACTATGTAAAACTTCAGTTCAGTTTCGTTGTTGTATGTGGCGGGTCAGATGAGCAGGGAGGCTGGGCCCCTGACGCTTGGACAACATGTGCGGGTGCACAAAAATTTGGCGACCACGCCAGGATAGTCAGGGAGACGAGGAACTGGCAGGAACTCCGGTGCGAAGGAAAACGCATCGAGAACAAATCACGAAAACGACGTCGTCTGAGCTGAAGGCGCTGAGCGAGGAAACGTCTGCGAGGAGTGGCTGGCTCGTCAGAGCTGAATGCCCTGAGGGCAGATGAAATGGATAAACGTCTGCGAGGAGTGGCTGGTCCGTTGGAGTTGAATGCGCTGAGGGCAGAGACGTCCCGCGAGGTGGCTGGTCAAGACGACGAGGTTGGTGCGACGGAAGTCGTTGATTGCGCTGAGGGCAGATGAAGATGGATAATCGTCTGCGAGGAGTGGCTGGTTCCTATGACAAGGACGGTGCGAAGGAAAACGCATCGTGAATAAATAACCCCATGTGAGTGTGAAGCAGAGTTTGGAAGGTGCTCCTGGTGTAATTTGTTTGATTGGTTCGATTTGCTCGATTTGTTTGATTAGTTTGTTTTGCTCGATTTGTTTGATGAGTTTGATTTGTTTGTCCCTGGTCGTTTTGTTGGCGTGTCGATCGCTTATTTGACGTATACCGTAAAGTCTTGTATAAAAGCCGCGGCTTCTATATGAGGCAGGCTTCTATACAAGACAGGTATTTCTATTTATGTCAACACTAAAACCAGGCTTATGTGTGATTTGACCATGATTGAGAAACGAGAGGTACCAGGTTCAAGTCCTGCTTGGAAGCGGAAGGTTTTTTTCCAACCGTGCTGCAACCCACAGTTATTTGGGAACTTGTGGCCTGTCATGAGTAAAACATGGTTCCCGTATGTCACGTGATTGTCGCCTTGGAGTGGTAATGACAGATCAAACAGCGCAGGCTGGAAAGCGCGGTCCTGGCTGCTCAAAGGTGATGGGACTGGATCCACTGCCCGTCGTCAAGTGCCGACGGGCAGGAACGGATTCCACTGCTCGTCGTCAAGTGACGACGGGCAGGAACGGATTCCACTGCCCGTCGTCAATTGACGACAGGCAGGAACGGATTCCACTGCTCGTCGTCACTTGACGACGGGCAGTAGCCACTGGACCGACTCTCTACTTCAAGAGTCATGGTCTTTCATTGGCTACTTGTCGCATGTTTCATAAAATACAACTGTTTGCTTTACAAGTAATAAATAACTAAAACAGAAGAGAGACTATTTGCAACCACAACTGTCATCATGGCGCTCGAACATTTGATCTGAAACTGGGAGAAAAGAAGCCCCTTTGTTGAACGGTATTGGCGATGTAAACGAGCTCCTCCAAAAAGTGGAGGAAGAGACTGAAACTTGTATTGCGGAGTCGTTCGCGAAGGAGATCTTGGACGAGCCGGATGAGCCTCAACCAAAGCGCGCAATGCTCGGCAACCTGCAGGACCCGCGCAATTTGCCGAGTTTTCCGATCAAGCCCCGGGAAAAATCCGTAGGAACAGAACAGTCAGAATACCCGATGCCAAGTCGACAATGTCAATTGCCACCACGAGAAAAAAAGCACATTGGACTCCTGTACTGCAGTTCATTTCAAAACTATAGACGCGTAGGGTTTTTGAAATATTTCAAATTTGGCTGGAGCTTTTTGAGAATAGTTTTCGGAATATTGCTCAGGATCGCTCCACAATTACTCTCATAGAGTTTCTAAACGATTGGATAACAGACGCCCAATTTGGAAAAAATTATGCACAAAGTGATCACAGATTTTATGTGGTATAGATGCTGGCATAACGGTTTTTGCCTAGGTACGCGTCTATAGTTTTCAAATGGACTGTACTACTGCCTGTACCAGAAAACAATCACAAAACACAATGCAGGTGTGTATGTCATGTATATCTTTATTTGGCTTGGGTGCATGCATGCTCTTTGGCTTGGGTGCACACGGGAAACACGTTCCAGTCACTCATACTCAGCCACTACCGCTGTTCATCCAGCCCTTGCCGCTATCGCTGCGCGGGCTGGATTCCGCGGTACTGCCCTCATACTCGTGCAGAAACCTGTACATGTGGCAAATGGGATTTAGGCCTTTGGCCTATGGTTTGTGGATCTGATCTATCCTCCCCCATCGTTTAGGAGCCGCATCTGACGCCTGATCATGAGGTGGTGGCGTCCCACGGAAGCGGAAAGGTGGTTCTTGGCCAAGGAGTTGCACGACTCCTTGTTCTTGACCTGCCCGGTATGCGAACCCGTCGAATTTTTTTTACGGTATATACGTCATTACGTATATTTATATAGGTCATTAGCCGTAAAAGGGTTAAACTCACCCTTCTTTCTACGTCGTGCATATGTTGGTTTTCGCAGTACGAGCCGCACTTTAAACACCAGTACTGTAATTCACCCAAAAAAGGTCAGTGCGGCTCATACTACGATGGTCAAATTGTTGAATGGGATAGATGTATGCATTTCATGATGAGTGTTCTGGGTGCGGCTCATACTCCGATGTGGCTTAAACCCCAGTGCGGCTCATACTCCGATGTGGCTTAAACCCCAGTGTGGCTCATACTCCGATGTGGCTTAAACTTCAGTGCGGCTCATACTCCGATGTGGCTTAAACCCCAGTGCGGCTCATACTCCAGAATGTATGGCAGCAGCTTGCCTAACTATTGGCCTGTGCGTTTCTTCTTCTTTGTATTCTATCAGCTCTTCTATGTCCAAATCCCGGTATCCCAGTGAATGGTAAGAGAGTCGTGTCTGGGCTAGTCATCCAAAGCTTTGCTCGCTACTCATGCAACACTGGTTTCCAGTTGAATGGCAGCGCTACCATCTTTTGTATTTGGCTGAACGGGACAAAGTGGTCCAGTCCGACACCTACTTGCGTTCGTGAGTACCTTACGTGAAAATTGGCAATCAGTCGAGACTACTCAGAAATATGGCAATTATGGTATAAAACCAAACATCACAGAAATGTCAATCCGCGAAGCAGAATTTGTTGTACAGCATCATAATTCATTCGTAGATATGGCCATCATATTCTATTTTTGGGATCATCATACGTCAGAGAAATTTAACTCGGATATTGAGCCAATAAATATAAATAAAGTAGAAGAAATCACATGGAAACGAGTTATGAAGCAACAATGCATGACTGTAACATGATAATAAGTAGTCAGAAAGTGCGATAAACAGGGCACAAAGCTGACAGGCTACTGAGACATTCAACGACCTGAGATCTAGCTCTCACACACCTCCAGTACGCAAACCAACAGCCTTCCAGCTTGGAAGGTTATGGTAGGCTCAATGAGGGGAAGGTGAGCACAGCGAAAATGTGCACAAGCTAAGTCCCACAGCAACAAAGAATGCCGACCGTTACAGGACGATGACAAGACATAATAATTATGGCTATATGATCTAACTACAATTTGAAGCAGCAAAGCAACACGCCACCCAGCTTGGGTGGGTCAGCAATATTAGAGATAAATTCTCAGATAAATAAAAGGGGGAGCTTTGCGAAAACGAATTGTACAAAACCAGACGCCAATATCTAACGGGACTCCTCATACATGGCACAATTGTGGATGAGTTGACTACAATAGCAAGTAGTTTCACACGGTGAACATTTCGTCATATTGTTCGTGACCGTCCCCTCATTGGTCCTACCATAACCTGAAACCTTCCAAGCTGGAATGTTCTTGGTTTGCGCACTGGTGATGTGTTACAGCTAGGTTTTAGGGCGCTGAATGTCTCAGTAGCCTGTCAGTTTTGTGCCCTGTTTATCGCACGTTCTGACTGCTTATTACCTTGTTTCAGTCGTGGATAGTTGTTTCATAACTAAATTCCATGTGATTTCTTCTATTCATAGAAATTGGTATAAACGAAATTATAATTTTAGGAGGACACCAGCCATTATAGATCTCCGATAAGAAAAAGTGCACAGAAGGAAATCAAGGCTTTCTGCGTGAGGAGTCAACATCACCATGGTCTGGAAGTGCACAGTATGCTAAAGAGAAGAAGAGAGACGATATTTAGATAAGACCACAGCCACATACCTCTAAAACACCAAAACAAAACAAGCTAGTTGACCAGTCCTAGAGGAGTCACCATGGACCACGCCTGAACTGGAACCAGCATCAACCCTCACCAGTGAAAAATATGAAAAACGGAAATAAATAAAAATAGCATCTCCCTTCTTCCCTTCAACTCTCGCAGTCTCTTCCCCAAAATGGATCAACTGTCAGGAACAGTATCATCAAAAACGCCACCTTATGATGTCGTTGCTGTCTCTGAAACATGGTGTGCCCAGCACTACCCAGACTCCCTGTTTGCCCTCAGTGGCTACACGCTACATTGGGCAGACCGCACAGATCGATTAGGTGGAGAAGTGCTTGTCTACGTGAACGGCACAATACCTCATGAACTCGTCCCTACAACAACCCCAGACAGCTTTAGCCTACTATCGCTGAAACTGTCAGCCAACGACCACACCATCAACGCAACATGTGTCTACCGACCACCCCGTTGCGACCATCGTCTATTTTGTCAGCATCTTGAGGAACTGATCCGAATCATACCAACAACAACAACAACAACAACAACACAAAGGATTATCCTGGGTGATTTCAAATGCAAAGAACCCTGCATGGTGCAACTCTGACACGACAGATGTGGTTGGCGAGGATCTAGCAGTGCTAGTCCAAAAATACTCTCTACACCGACATGGCACATTCCCCACTCTTGTGCAGAATGGGCACCCTGAATCCTGCCTAAATCTCGCCGTCACGGATGTAGACAGCGACTATGTCTTTAAAGCCTTTATATCTAGTCTCCCGCAGATTGGCAGCTTGGACCACCTATCCATCAAGGGTATGACCAAGCCACTCGCTACACCTCCTCGAGCCCCACCACCGCCCAAACATTAAACCACCCATTGGAACTGGTCAAACCAATGCATCAGCAGTCTGAAAGCAGAAATTGAACGCACACAACTGCTACCGGATGGTGACATGCTGAACACTCCCAACATAGACAACCTGTGGCACACATGGAAGGACAAAGTGCTCACTTGAGCCCGTAAATACTGTGCAGTATCTCACTCCCCGAGGCATGCTAGCTACTCTGCCAGACATGCTCTCCCAGGGCCAGACTCTCTCAACCCCTGCTGAAAATGCAACCGCCCCGTGAGTGAACGCTTTCTTCATCTCGCAGAGCCAGCAGTCAGTCACAGGGTACCATGGGGAACTCCCCTCCATTCATTTCCCACCCCCAATACACTGGATCTCACTACTACTTGAAACAACAGTTCCAGAGGTTTCAACGCTACTGTCTAGCCTCGACCCGTCAAAGAACCCGGGTTGTGATGCCATACCAACACGCCTACTGAAAGAGGCAGCCTGTTAACTTGCGCCGTCCCTAGCAACCCCTTTTATAATCTCCTTCGAACGTTGCGCTATCCCGCAAGAGTGGAGGGACGCAACATTCAGCCCTATCCACAAGAAGGGCAGCAAAACCGAGCCCTCCGACTATCCACAGATATCACTGCTCAGTGTCACATTGAAAGTGCAAGAGAAGATACCTAGTTGCTGACCGAATCTCCAAGCACATCCAACCTCACTTAAGGCATTTGACCGGGTGTGGCACCAAAGACTGCTTGCAAAATTGGCCCATCTCGGACTCGATGGCAAATGCCTCCAGTGGCTTCCCTCTCATCTCACCAACAGGCAACAACGTGTGCAAGTGGAGAGCAGCAAGTCAACCTGGATGAACAGTCCAGCCCCCCCCCAGCCCCCCCCCCCCCCAGGCTCTGTCTTGGGGCCACTTTTGTTCACGGCCTACACAGTCAATCTGCCAACCGCCTGCATAAATGCCAACACCGAGCGCAGCCAGTTTACATACGACACAGCCACAGCCCTCTGCTGCTCGTGAGAAATATCTAGCCACAGAAGAGTACCTCCAGTCAGCTTTTGACTACAGCTGCACAGTGGCTGAAGTATTGGCATCTCCTGATCAATGAAAGTAAAACCACTGTCATCCACTTTCACCACACCAACCACCCAAATCCCACACCACCATCGGTCACACTCAACGATACTAACCTCACTGTGGCCTCAAGGCATCGCCACTTTGGCCTCATCATACAGCAGAATCTATGCTGGAACTCGCATGTTGACTAACGCGTCCACTTCTGCCCTCTCCTCCATTTATCTACCTTACATTCACCCTGTTCTTGAGTACGCTTGCACTGTCCTCTCACCGCACCATGCAACCCTCAACTGAGCGGCTTGAGGGCATCCAACGTCGCACCGCTCGCCTCTGTTTGCATCTCACCCTCTTTGAACACAGATCCCACTCCATGCTGCTTCACCTGCTTGAATGGCCATCATTTAGCAGCCGCCGTACCCTCTTCCATTTTATTTTTGCACATAGTCTGCACCATAGATATGCACCACCACACTTTCTTGCAGTTCACCTACCCCGAATACAACCCATTCGCACCCTCAGGTTCCCCGAACGTTTCAGCCGCCCACAGCACGGACAAACCGGCTAAGAGACTCCCCATCTATGCTTCTCTTGATCTCGTTAATAACATCCCACTCAGCCTCCGGGAAATCAACCCAAGACAACTCTGAGATTTCAAAGTAAACATCCCACCTCCTGTCATCTCTTCCGTATGTACCTGCTCACGTTGCTCAGCACATCCATAGTCCCGTTGTGCTCAGCCTGCGTGATAAACTCTCTATTAACGTCGCTACTATTTCAGCAAGCAGCTAAACATTGATTTCCCTCTATCCGATCACCGTGCCTGTACTTCCTGTTCTCTTATTGGCCACAGGCCTTCGTGAGAATAAAATATTTCGAACAGTCCATTTCAAAAACATTAACAATCAGGTTTTGTTCCTAAAATGTATGGAGATAAGGTGAAATCGGAAAACAAAGTGCATAAAAGGGCTTGGTAGGCCATGGCAGACTGTTATGTTGTAAACCAGAAGTACACGTGCCTGCGTGCGTCAGTCATTTTTCGTGCTTTCGCGCGGAATATTTTTCTTCGAGTTTTTTTAGCCACCACATACCGTAAGATGGCAAACTCCCCGGGCTATCACCAGGATTGTTCATCCTTTTCAAATGGACTGTAGTGAGCGAATAAGTAACATTGAACGGCTCGATGGAGGAGTAACGCCAAACCATTGTCGAGACAACACATTTACTTTCTGCACAACAGTTCAGGATTCAACTGACGTATAAAAGCTTCTAGCACAGACAAATGCAATCCGCATCTACCACATGTGATTATCGAGAAAACATTATCACTGTACAACTCACGACAATTAGTTCGGGTTGACAGATGTTGCTTGATGGACGAAGTGCGATTCTTGGCTCCAGTGGTTGATACCTCCGCCAATGTCCCGTCATGACGTCTCTTCATCACGTCTAATGATGACTCCGTCATCGTGTATGGCATCAAGGCTTGCTGAAAAAGCTCAGCCACTACGGTGTCGGCGGCAAGGCTCGAAGCCTACTTGACAGGACACAGACAGCGGGTGCAGGTTGCAGGCACAACATCCGCCTTCATACCAATACCAGCGGGATTGCCCCAGGGCTCTGTCCTGGGACCACTTCAGTTCCTGGCGTACACCATTGACCTGCCCACTGCCTGTGAAAATGCTACAACCTCGTGTAGCCAGTTCGCGGACGACACCGCACTAATTGCCATTGCAGGCAGCCACATTGAGTGTGAGGCTGCGCTACAAAGAAGCGTCGATGCCGCAGAAGAATGGTTGGAGCGGTGGCACCTGCTGGTCAATAAAACGAAAACCGTCATCCTCCCGTTCTACCATGCTAACCGACCCCCACCACGACTACCCGAAATAAAACTTGGACAAACCCTACTAGAAACAGTAACACAACATCGTCACCTCGGCATCATCTTTCAGCACGACCTAAGATGGTCAGCCCACCTTGACTTTGTGCTGAAGAAAGCCGTAAAATCTTTTAATATTCTCTTTCGGCTAAAATCAACTCTACACACTAAATCACTCTCTCTCTCTCATTTACAAAACATATATCCTGCCTATAGTTGAATTGCATGCTTTGCTGTCACCCCGCTCCCAATCGCAGCGGCCAGAATTTGCCTCCGTCTCCCCCTCTACACTCCTCTGAATCATTCAACACTGCTCCAACGGCTCAAATGGCCGACAATGTTCTCGCCGCAAAGTGAAGCTCACCCTTCTTGCCCCCTCCATAAAATACCAATATGCCCCACAACACATATGCATGCTCAACACCACCGCTCAAGTTACGGCCCAGTACCGCCTTCGACATGCATCGACATGCACTCACTTGGCACCTCCCACCCTCCAGAACCGATCGCTGTAAAGACTCCCCACTGTACAAGTCCCTAGAATACTACAATACCCTCCCTGCTAGATTTTTTGTGACGTCTCCTCCTGACCTGCTTTCAAACAAGATATCTGCTCACTGCTGATAAACTCAATCTGCTCCTGCAGCGCTCACCCTCTCCCATACTCGTAAAATTCAAAGTGATGTAAATCACTTTCCAACTGCATAACCCACAATCTCCTTTTCATAATTTTATCTCTTATTGGCGATGGTGCCATCGTGAGAATAAAGAACTCAACAACGTCTCACAACATTACTTTTAAATTTGCTCACTAAGTTTTTGTCGCTGCTAAAATTTTCCTTCAACATTTATGTCGGTCTAAACTTGATAATTTTCCTCCTTGTCTTGAGTGTTGTGATTCCTTTTATCTTCATGCTACATAAGTTTTTGTCTTTCCAACTCGAGCCATTCCCTGTAGGATCCTTGGTGAGAAGGGAACAAACACGTTTGGATACTTTAAGAAAAAGTGCCTTATTTGACTGGATGTGTGTTTTGCATGGACACATGCCAACTAATACTAACATGTAGCTTTGAGTTTGAAAATATTATCTGCCTCCGACTTCTATTACGATTATGTTTATGTTCGTGTGTGTGTGTGTGTGTGTGTGTGTGTGTGTGTGTGTGTGTGTGTGTGTGTGTGTGTGTGTGTGTGCACGAGTGAGTGCATGTGTGCTTGCGCGCATGTGCGTGTGTGTGTATGTGTGTGTGTGTGTGTGTGTGTGTGTGTGTGTGTGTATGTGTGTGTACGTATATGTGGCCAGCTAGTTCGGTTGGTGGGTACACTTATGCCGGATTGTGTTGGGTCTGTTACCAACGGGCTCGGCTGCTTGAAGGTGCATTGTTGTACCTACCACCTTTGTTGGTTTCAGGGTTCATATACTTTCTATTTGAAGTATACATACTTGTTTACCATTGACTGCTTCTGGCTAGATTAACTCTTGTGTAATCAATGGTGCTAGTGAAGGTTATATCAGATCCACTCTGATTTAGCCACAGGCGTATCGCACCGACTTTGGAGGTGGGGCGGCCATGGAAGGGGGGTCTGGGCCCCCCCCCCCCCCCCGGGATAAATATCAAAAATTGAAGCCAATTGCAAGCATTTCTGGGCATTTGGTGCCATTTCAGTGTACGGTAACTACAATGAAAGACTTTTTGATTCTAAAAAAAAACCAAGAAGATGCTACGATCGAGGAAAAACATTACCCTCCCCCGGGAAAAAAATCAAAAATTGAAGCCAATTGCAAGCATTCCCAGGCATTTGGTGCCATTTCAGTGTACATGGACTTTTGATTCTGCAACAAACCATGATCGGGGACAAGGATTTGCCACGTTTGCGCTGAGATCATCGCGCTTTGTTGCAGTGTGCTCAAGAAAAAAAAGAAAAAAACGGCTGAAAAAGTGGAGCGGCCATGGCCACCCCGGCCGGTGCGGTTCCGACGCCCTTGAGCCACCCACACTAGTACCAAGTATTACCTTCACTGGGGGCAGGGGTACCTGCAGTTGGATCCCGGGACGGCTACCCTGATGCCGTCAATCCTTTTTCTGCACCTTGTCCTCACCCACTTACCGAGGTGTGGTGAGCCCGTAAGTGGGAATATTTCAAGTTCACCCTAATTTGGGGATTTCAGGGGGTGTCGGCCGCTGGGTCACGGGTTCAATGGCCAATTGAGTCATCTTTCCAAGATTCCTTTTCAGTCTCTCTCCCCTCTCCCGGGGAGACCCACGTGACCAGTTTTGGCAGTGAGCAAGTACAAGTACAAGTGTGTGTGTGTGTGTGTGTGTGTGTATGTGTGTGTGCATGTGTGTGTGTATGTGTGTGTGTGTGCGTGCGTGCGTGCGCGCGCACGCTTGCATGCGCGTATGTGTGTGTGTCTCCACTCAGCAATCATCTGCCCTCACCCAGGCAATATAGTGAATGGTGTACGCATCGTTACGGTGGCCAATTACCATACTCAGACTATTGGATACCTCTCTGTGGTCACGTCTAGCTGCTATCTTGGCTTCCAGCTATCTGGAAACGCTTACCTAACCTGTATTGAAGGTGGCTGGAATGGAACACAGGCGACTTGCACTTGTAAGAATTTGATCACTTGTCCTACAGCTATTCTTTCTGATTGGTTTGGGTGCATGCATGAACATGTTGAGTCAAATCACCGAGAAAGGAAACGCTGGGTAAACAGTAATTGCTTGCTTCTTCGACTTATCTAAGGCGTTTGACTGGGTGTGGCACCAAAGACTGCTTGAAAAATTGGCCCATCTCGGACTCAATGGCAGACGCCTCTAGTGGCTTGCCTCTTATCTCACCAACAGACGACAATGTGTGCAAGTGGAGAACAGCAAGTCAACCTGGCTGAACATTCCACCGCGGGTTCCCCAATGCTCTGTCTTGGGGCCGCTTTTGTTCACCAGTCTAAAGAGTTGATCTGCCAACCGCCTGCATAAATGACAGCACCGAGTGCAGCCAGTTTGCAGACGACACTGCCATCATTGCTGCTCGTGAGAAATTTCTAGCCGCAGAAGAGCACCTCCAGCCAGCTGTGCCTGTAGCTGCACAGTGGCTGAAGGATTGGCATCTCCTGGTCAATGAAAGTAAGACCACTGTCATCCACTTCCACCACACCAACCGCCCACCTCCCAGACCCACATCGATCACACTCAACGATACCACTATCACTGTGGCCTTGTGGCATCGCCACCTTGGCCTCATCATGCAGCAGGATCTTTGATGGAACTCGCTTGTTGACTATGTTCCCACTAAAGCGTCTACTTCTGCTTTCTCAGCCTCCATCTATGTATCTTACATTCGCCCTATTCTCGCAACCCTCAATGACTGGCTTGAGCGCATCCAACGTCGCGCCGCTCGCATCTAATTGCATCGCCCCCTTTGAACACAGAACCCACTCCATGCTGCTGCACCGGCTCATATGGCCATCAATTAGCAGCCGCCGTGCCCTCTTCCATATTCTTCGAGTTCACTGCGAGTTTTTCCAGGCACCACATACCGTAAGACGGCAAATTCCGTGGGCGATCCCCAAGATTGTTCAGCCATTCGAAATGGGCTGTAGTGGAGCAAAGGAGGAGTAACACCAAACCATTTTAGAGACTACACATTTACTTTCTGCACGCACAGTTCAGGATCCAACTTACGTATAAACGCTTCTAGCACAGCCAAATGCAATCCACATCTACCACATGACAGTATTGAGAAAATATTAGGGCTGAAACAATTATACCGATAACTAATGAGAATAAAATATTTCAAAACTCGGATATCGATCGTTAAGAGTGCAATCGATAATCGTTAGTGTTCCAAACGAGTGCTAACGATTTTTTTATGCATGCATATCAGTGACAGTGTTCTAGCCCATGCACTCCATCCGATAGTAAATACAAGTGCTATCATGTACTTTCAAGCACAGAAAAATTGATTTGTGGCTTTGAAAAAGATCGGGAGACAAGACTTTGTCTTTTCGGTTCTTTTTGAAGGCGGAGATGAGAGCAGTTTCCAAAGGGTGATAACAAGATTCTTCGCTCTGGAAACAACATGAAATTCTCTAGTTCATGTTGATTCAACAGTGCGGTGACACAAAATTCTAAAGTAGCATGAGCATCTTGGACTTTCTTCGTTAACTGGTGTTCGAGATACACGAGTAGAGCTGACAAGCATCGATAAAACCAATTTGAGCCCCAGCCAGCAGAAACCTGAACATGTGTAATTTTTTCAAAAATTATTTTTTCCCTCCAAATTGTTTCTACACTATTAATCATTCAAGTTATCAAGTTTGATGACAATCTGATAAGCGAAAGCATGGAAAATAGAGTTTGAAGTCACACAGGTCAAGATTCCGTACAGTTGGCGCAGCATCCATGCCTAGTGATTCCATGCAAGTTGATCCTACAGTTTCTGATTGTGATGTGGAACAGGTACATGTAAGTAAATAGAATGCAAATCAGGCTTGCCCTCTTGGTGCTGCAGGCATGAGTTGTTCAGAAGTGTGACGATATTCCGTATACATCACTACCTTCTTTACAACACCAGAGTGCAAAACGATGATTGGTGGCTGGCCTTCCAAATTGTGTTCAGGGACCTCTGTGCTGGTAGTTTGAGCGTTGTGACAAAGCTTGCCATACTGATAGATGCGCTCACCAATACCACAGACATCCACTCTCTTGCACACTTTCACTCAGACCATGATTTCAGCATAATTGTATTTCAATGATATGAGCGAATACTCGCGTTTTGTAGCACGTGAAGATGTTGCCCGAAAGCGTTCAGCCGGTTTGAGTTTTTAGGGATCCCCTTTCTCAGCACAGGCAGCAGCCAGCTTGGCGTCATCTGGCAAGGTAGAGTACTGATAATACTACGCTCTGTTTTGCGCCGTGAGAAGCCCTCCATCAGTGTCTGCAGCATCATTGTTGTCGATGTAGAAATACGGATCGCTCAGCGGGACGACATTCTGCTTCTCCTCGCAGTCGCTATTACTCCAGCACTGACTATCGTCGCCACCAGTATCCAGTGTCGATTTTATGAGGGCTCCTCGTTGCTATGCATATGAGACTCGCCACTGCTGGACAAGCTCAGCAAGATCGCCACCAAACAAATAATTCCGATCGCGAACTAACTTTCAGCGCCGCTCCGTACAGGGAGTCTCGCGCTGACAACTCTGGACCTAAGTCTTTGTCGCGACACCTGTCGCCATCGCTGTGTCTAAACTCAACCTCCGTGTGACGAGCTCTCACCTAGCGCTAAAATCAATTGACCAGAGACATTTGAAGACATTTGAAACTCCTTTGACAACAAAGACACCCACTCGATCGAAAAAGAATCTTCAAAAGCCAGCTCACTGCGCGTCCCCAACTTTGACGTCACATTTTGATGATTGATATCAAGTACACAAGTGCTGGTTTTCGCTGGCCGGGGCTCATTTATCGATCGTAAATGATATTGGTTGATCGTTAGGAGTTAATGAATGATCGTTTCAGCCCTAGAAAATATTATATCAATGTACAACTCACCACAATTAATACGGGTTGACAGATGTTGCTTGATGGACGAAGTGCGATTCTTGGCTCCGGTGGTTGATAACTCCGCCAATTGCCCGTCATGACGTCTCTTCATCACGTCTAATGATGACTTCGTCGTCACGTCTCACAGCGTTACTTAATTTGCTCATCATGTTGTTACATGAAAAACCTTACACACATCATCTTCAAATCAAGTGGTCTCTTCGCTGCAAATTACATTATCTCAATCAAATTTTTGGCCAGGAGCCATCATCAGCATTGAGGAGAAACAAGTGAGGTGGACCTATATCAGGCAACACAAAGTGGAACTACGCCACATGTGATAAAATTGCACCATCCTTTCGTCACAGACACACACACACACATACCCATGCGCATGCCAAAACACTGAGACACACACTCATACTCACAATCGCACCAACACTCGCACACGCACCAACACTCACACTCACACAAGCTCGCACTCCAAATCACACCCGCACTCACGCACGTGCAACAAAAAAAGTCGAAACGACACTCACAAAAAGACAATTTGCCTGAAAACAAGGTGTGAATAGTGGTGGGACTATGACAAAAAGAGATGAGATTCAGTCGCCAAACTGGACTTACGCTACGACATTGTGTTATGTTGTTGTCATTATTATATGAGCCAGAGCACGCTAAAACATGACCACACCTTTTTTGAAAAAGTCGCGATAATCGCGATTTGAATTCCGCGGCAAAAAATACGAAGTGCAGTGCAACGCGAGTCGCTGTTGTTGTTCTCCTCGGTCGACTGGACTGTTCCGGATGCATTTCTTAGTTGCAAGTAAGTTTATTTGTTTGAGTTTGTATTCCATGTTGCGCTGAGTCGCCTAAAACTGATCGTCATCGATGTATCGACGGAAGAGCCTAGTAGTAGTAATGTACTGCGGAGCGGAAGAAGACGACATCCTCGCACTCCATGCGGAGGATAAAATATTTTGAGGATTCGGGTCGGAAACAGAAGGAAGATGATGATGGCTGCAGCGACGAGTCATTTGAGGGCGACACTTTCATCGAGCGTAAAAGAATTGATGCTGGTAGTCCCACGATCTGCAGTGACGAGGAATTCTACTCTGATGACAACCTGGCAAGCGATTGGCTTCGACACTGACTTTGGAGGTGAGTCGGCCGATGATTTGGCCAGAATGGACATCGCTGCACAAATCCGGAACAATGCCAGTATTGGTTGCAAGTGCCAAAACAATCGATGGACTCTGCTGCTCCCTCAACTTGCTCAAGTCGATAATTTGAGTGCCCTTATGCGGAACATCGCTAGCACGAGCAGTAGGCAGCGCAAGCAGTACTCTCTGGCGAGCGGAGAAAACCGTGTGCAGATGGGCTTTGGTGTGGGGAATATGAGTGCGACGTCGAATATGTTGAGAGAGACTGTGTGCAGCAGTGTATACTGTATATCTGAAAGTACAGGTGGAGTGTGATGGAGAGGACGTGGAGTGGCAATTTTTTCGGCCATCTACAGATGTTGACCGTGTTTTCGCTGGCGATTCTCCAGTGGTGCTCCAAAGGTATTTCGGACACCCAGCTCAGCTGCCTATAGAAATTTTGGATGTGACCGAGTACCTGTCAGCTCATGCTATAACTTAGTATAAGACCCTGGACAGAGGAACTGACCCGGAAAGGATGAACCAAGGGACATATCAACTAACAGAACTTTTATCATAGCTGGAGAGCGGAAGCAGTTTTTGGAGCCCCGTAGTTTTTTTTAGCACAATAGTCCGCTCCCAGCCCGTATGGCTGCGGATGCATAGATAGTAAACTAGATCACTTAGAGTGCTGATTCACTACAACCGCCAGGCGTCATGGCCGGAAACGGAGCTGATACGGAGCCCTGGCGACAGCTCTCGTCTTCGACACTGAAGAAGAACACTGTTGTATTCCCCTCGCAAGCCCAGGTAAGCGTGGGGCCTACATAAAGCGCCTAGAAGAGCAAGGTATCACCGGCATCATTTCGATGCAGACAACAAGCAGGGGTCAATGTAGACTTACCGTTGAGTCATATGAAAAAGC